AATAGATCTCCCAATGCGCCCCCCTTGGCTTGTGATCATTAAGGTAAAATGGTTTTGTGTAAACCTTTTACACTCTGCCGACAGGGTATGGAATGACGAGCTCAATCGGTCTTAGCTGGTAATACTGAAGGGTTTTACACGGTGGAAATGTGTCAGACGATCAGTACTGTATGAGTGGGCTACGCTGGCTGTCACATGACGGAGCACAGGCCGAAAGGGTTGTGACAAACAGAGAGGCGGACGGGAACAGCAAAAGAATCGGAAAAAGTTACGTCTACGCAAAGATATTCACAATATGTCAGTGGGTGCTAGCTTATTGTTTACTGTCCTGCATGCTTACGTACTAGAATAAATTATTAGGGATAGGCGACGAGCATGATCTGTTGCATTCTTGAAATTGAAGCAGGCTATTTTGTTAAAAGGATGTTTAAACACTGCGCTGAAACAAATGACCCACAACGGAGTACTTTGACAACCTGGTGTTCTTGTCAGCTAAAAAAAGACATGTCACCCACAAATGTGTTGATTACATTCCTTAATCTCTTAAAAGTGATTGTGCAAATTTGGTGAAACCAAAGCCAGACACGCGAGTGTGTGTGTGAGAATCAACAGGTGTGTGCAATGATTATACTTTCTGGGGAAAGTCGTGTGCTAATGTTGTCTATGATTTTCCTATGAACTGCGTGTTTATGACTCTCACACACTTCCTTTGATAACATGCGTAACCATTCCCCTGGATGATTCACATCCCTCATTCTCTCTCTCTCTCTCTCTCTCTCTCTCTCTCTCTTCATCCAGGCCTCTGCTCGCCTGGCGCTCTTTGCTTCCTTCCGATCTTGCTCGCACTCTCACCAAAACGCATGCTTGGTCTCCCTCACGGTTGATTTCTTCACTCCTCATCTTAGAAAAAAGGCTCACATGGTCAGTGAGTGGGTCAGGCTACCCCCCCCCCCCACATCAAACAGGAAAAGGACTGTTCAGTACGTACAACCACATGTAAGCTATTAACACGATGTGTGCATGCCCGTGTCTGTGTGTGTGTGTGCGTGTGTGTGTGTGTGTGTGTGTGGGGGGGGGGGGGGGGGGGGTGTTTACAAAGACACACTGGAGTCTTTCACTCCCGCTGTGTAACAACCACTCTTTGTAGTCACCCTCTTACGCACACACCGAGTGAAACAGGGTAATGCTGATTGGTATTCAGACCTTTAAGTGTGAGGTTTAAGCAAATGTCGTGTGTTTTTGTGCATTTGTGTCCGTCGACCGGAATGACTTACTTAAACAAACATGCCAGGATGCATGTCGTGTTTTCTTATTGCTCTGAATGTCCTCTTTAACTGTCTGTTGTTGCAGACTGAAAATGACCCGTTTACACATTACTGTACTGTTTATTGATGAGTGTTTGACTGAGATTCATTGTCAGAAGCTGTCAGAAGTTACTGGATTGTTTTCAGCACAGTCAAAAAAAAAGGGACTTTATGAGCACTCCTATTATATCACAGCAGTGCCAGAGGACACGTGTTAGAAGTACACTCTGACATCCCTGCCTCCTCCGATACTTTTTCCTTCTCCTCTTGCCATCCCCTCCAGTTGTTTTTCCTTCTCTACCCCCGTTTATTGCATTCCTGTTCACCAATCCTGCCTCTGTTCTCACTCGTATCCCCATCTGTGTTTATGTGTGTGAGTGTGTGGCCACGTAGGGCCCTAGAGTTTGGGGATTGGACCGCCCACTCGCCCCACTGTTAACTATGTAGCTACTGGTCAGCTCCAGCGTACTGGCTGCAAAAAAACAAAGCAAACTGAGGCAGTGTGAGTCTTTACTGACAAATTCAGATTTTAACAGCACAGTTGCCATGGAAATGATGCGAGGGCTGGTGTGAAATTCTGTCATTTTTTTTAATAGAAGTGGAGTTGTGACGTGAGTGTAACCCCCCCCCCCCCCACACACACACACACACACTTTCCCTAGAGTGTCCCTGAAGTCACTTAGCACCTTGCATACAGAGCCAGTAATAGAGTGGAGGCGCAACAACGACAACAAAGACGGCGTAAAAGGCAGCTAACCTTAAAGAAACACCCAGTAACCCCCTTAAATCCAAACACTTTCTGCCGGTTCAGTGTTTATGTTTTCAACCTAATACAGTTTACAGTTGGGTTTCTAACATAAACTGTGAGATGAGTGGGAATTGGAGTAGGATTTTCGAGGCTCTATTGCAGTGCGGTTCTCACCCTTTGTTGTCTAAATAATCCCCCAGAGTGCTATCAGATGAACTCAAGCCACCCCTTCACTATCACTGAGCACCCTGTCGAAACCAGGTGTGTTTCTTCAGCAATGCAAATGCCACATTAACACCCGACTGCAGGAATTCACAAAGGCCCTGCTAATATAATAACTGAATGGCTCGAATTATAATCCTGCATTGAAAGAAAATAATGAAAACAGGGGCTTTTGGGAAATGATAATTTCACCAAGCTTTTCTTCCACCAAATTGACACAACCTTTCTTTTCCCACTGCACAGTTAACCAACGTAAACATTGAAGCCTCGTTGCCATGGAACCGTATCAAGGCTTGGCTCCTCACTATTACCCACAACGACTGTGACTGATAGACGGACTGAGTGGCTGGATGAATATCTGACAAGCTGTCTGGCAGGAAAGACTGCTTGTAGCATGTTTTAAAGGGATTATATGATTGGGGAAAATGGCTCATTATGAATTCCCTGTTGAACAAACTCCATGCCGGTTTTATTATTAGAAGAAATAAGCATCCAAGACAGGAGAGAAATAAAGGGAGATGGGAAGTAATGAAGGGGGCGGGAATGAAAATGTGGAATACGGCATGAATCAGAACAAAAAGACAGACACGGTAGGAAAAGGAGTGAAAGGTTAAATAAAGGAGGGACACAGGGAGGTGGAAGAAAAGGAGTAACATATCTCTCCATGTCTTGTGACATCGAACAGGGTTCTCCCACTCTGCTCCCTGACCGGCTCAAGCTGCCTCTCCAGTTACACTGTTTAGCAGCACGTGCTCCCCATCTCGCCGTCTAAATGAGCCCAATGTGTCTCCATCAGCGAACCGACTGTAAATTAATCTCTTTGTTGTCTAACAGCCGAGGCAGAGACGGAATCGGGACAATGAAAAGCTGAGTGGAAACACTGTGGATGGAAAAGCACAAAATAGGCATCGCCATTCGCGATGAATGAGTGATATGCGTCCAAAAAATGGGAATTAAATCAACATGTCCGATCTCGTGAGTGCATGCTGTATCTGTGATCTGACAATAACGAATCATTACAACCTCAGTCTCACTGTCATGGCGACAACCATTTGTGGGGCTTTTTGGACTCTTTGTGACCCTGTTGGTGCAAAAAACCCACAAAAAAAAACAATAATTAACAACAATAAAGCATCTGTGCACATGCATGGCTGAAAGAGTGGAGTAGTGAATGAGAGATTTTTTTACTCTGCCAGGTTTTAATCCATAGCTTCTGAATCCATCATTGGCACACAATCACAGCTCATTGATTTTCAAATCCTCTCCAGGCCATTTAATCGCCTCTGCTGGCATGTGAGGCTCTGTAGTATCCCTGCTACTTTATTATTACTATCCTCATGTCACGGGATATCCCGGTAACCGCTGTTAAAATCTCAATGAAAGTGCGATGCAATCTGGTTTTCACATGAGAGAGGTATCAGTGTCTGACCCTCCAGGAGGGTTGGAAACTGATTTACGCTCTTGTTTAACATTGGCTTGGAATAATATAGTTACAATAAGTTATAGTTTGTCAGTGGATTGGATTTTGGACTTCCAGGTGCAAATGTGGAGACAGCCAGACCTCCTGAAGAGGCTGTTGTTAAATGACAACAATTTATCCCCAAAGACCAGCCTGACCTTGTGCTAATATGTGTGAATTGTCTTCCAGCCTCCTGCCTTTTTTTCTGGTCTCACCTATAGCCAACTGGGAATTCTCCAAACCTGTTATGTCGTTGTATTCCTCGCGCTACTGGGAATAGAATGTGGGTCAATGCCAGCTCAGTAGAGTTGACATGAGCTTACCAACTACCGACGCCAGCAGCTCCACCCACAGCCGCCGCCAGGTTACATTAGAGCTGCGCGGCTCTCCGTGCGTCACCACGGCCAACGGTTTGATGTGTGATGTTGCAGAGGGACTCTGGTGTGATTGTGCTCAGTCATCACGACAGCCAGGGGAGGTCATTATAAGGCCCCTCCCCCCCCCCAACACGGCGCATGACTGGACCCCTCCACCCAGACTGATCAGTATCACCTCATTTGCCTCCCATAAGGTGTCTCCCTCACCATAAAAGTTTGCAATTAGAATAGACAAGACATGAGGGAAGGGGCATGCACCATGGGCCACAGTGTAACCAAAGACACAGCCACACATTTTTTTAAATTTCCATATTGAATAAAAACATGCTAATTTTCCCACCCCAAACAGCGGCCTAACAATGTCTTTAATGACAAAAGTATGATTTCCAGTAAGCTATTAAGACTTTATTAAAATAATTCACAGGTGTGCTTTACAGCTCCAGCCAATCAGAAGAGAGAACAGCAGAGGCTGTCTATTTCATGATAAGGTAATAAAGCTGTATCAGCTACATTTAGCCTATACATGTTGGTGGGGGGGATTGAAGTAAAACCACAGCGGCTTTATCTGACTGGTAGAAATGTCTGACATGAATTCTTTGTTTCTTGCGGCTAATGTTCAGCTTCCTCGCACTCCTAGTTTGCCATATTCATTACCTCATCCTAGCATATGGCCCAGATCCTATAGGTTATAGAACACGCGAGGCTAGGCCAAAAGCAATGACAAAGGGCCTATAATTGTTTCTTTATCAACAGTTTGCTCTCGGACTGGACGGACGGACAATCCCCGGAGCTGATCAACTGATTTACGGAGCCCTATTACTTAGCAGAGCCGCCTGATCGATACGTTCGATCGGGTTTTGTGAGGCCGGTTATATTGTTAGGGTCTTTACCTCACAGTCGTATAGGTCCGTTAGTTGGTTGATAATCCACTCCTCCAGGTTCAGTCTCTTCCTCAGCTCCTTACGATCGTATTTGACGGTTACGCGTCCCTGCTTCCGAACGGGGATCTCCGGTTCCTCCGTGGTGCCGCCCGGCGTCTGGAAATATACCCGGGGTTGAGGGCTCGTCTCCGGGCTTGTTACAGCAGCCATGATCGCTCGGTTTGGTTATAAAAAATTTTAAAAAGCCCCCCACGGATATGTGGAAGTGTGGAAGGAGCGACAGCAAGGAGTCGAAGCGGTCTGTGGACGCGCGGCCGCTCGCTTTTCCGCACTGGAAAAAATCCCGACTGATGAATGTGTGACTTGGAATCCCCCGAAGAAACAACGTTGAACCTGATGCTTTTGTTGTCCAAAAATCGCTTAAAGGGACATTGGCTGTGGTCGCTCGCTTCCACAAAAACAAACGGGACTGACGGTTACCGTGAAACGTAAAGTGTAACCGGCTTATTGGGCTATTTACAGCATGCAAACTCTGCTTATATAAAAAAAGAGAGAGGTGAGCAGAAGCAGCGCAGGTCTCAACTCTTGATTCAGTACAAAGAGAAATCACACGTCTCTCTCTCTCTCTCTCTCTCTCTCTCTCTCTCTCTCTCTCTCTCT